GCGTGGTGATCGAGCCCCTCCATCCACACATGCGTCCTCCCCCGCCCAATCGTCACAGATTCATCTCGATGACGCAGCAGAATAGCGGCACCTGCATGCAGCGTGAAGTTCGCACGCACATCCATCTCAGCTGTACCTACAGTACATACTCTGCTTACTACGCAGAGAGCAGCAGCAATTAAGCATGCTGAGGCAGATGCAAGGTGGTGGTCAGGGTCCACGCAACCAAAGAAGCCACAAAGAAGGAAGATCACAGCAGCCAGCCAGCATGCTTGATTTGAATCACACTCGCGTGATCGCTAGGAGCTACGTGATACTTCAGTGATGAGTTTGAGTCTTGAATCAAGTCCCGAATGCACTTTCACAGTCCTTCGGCATAACAATGGTGAATGCCCGGGAGCCACATTCATGATTGTTCTCGGATGAGCCTTATACCCACTTCACCATGATCCGTGATGATGTGCACTTCCAGACATGGGCGTGTAGCCGTAGGCCAAGCCATGAGGTTGTCAACAGACACGCAATAGGAAGCCACCATGCAAGGAAGCTGTCTGACCTCGGAAAGGAGAGGTCCAACTCACGCGTAATGTGCTCATCGATCTAGCCTCGAGCTTGTTCTCCTCCCTTCGTGCCTCCACTTCCCCTTCCACCTGCAGACGCCCATACTCGAGGCAAGTGTTGCAACTTGCAAGACTGCTAGACCACGGCATCTCCGATCTTGCAGTGTTGGCCGTACTTCAGAGCAACGCTAACGACCCTCTTTGAGCCGAAACGCTTGCTTCGACTTTTACCTTTCGCATAATTCACCTCGATCACGAATTCATTTGCAGTCAAAAATGTCAGCTCACTCCCTGCAAATCCGCAACTCGATACCGCTGACTGTGGGAGCAGTGACGCTAGCTTTGGGTGGGGCAGCATGGTATCTTCGCAGCTCAATCCTGCGCAGTCCGCGCAACAGTCGCACCTCCCATTTCCTGACCAAATCGACCTCTGCGCGCTCCAAAGCCCAGACCGAATCGCAAGCTCATCAGCTGGCCTTGACTTCTCTCACTTGGCTGGTCGCCGCTTTTGGCCCAGATGGAAGACATGCCAACGATACGGCTGCTGGATGTATGATAGCGAGTCCGAGCAGACCAGAGGACAGACCAGGAGGCAAAGACGAGGTGGGTGTATGCGTCGCAGCCCTTTCGACGGTGCTACGCTTTTCTGTGGCTGAATGATCGACTCGCTGCCTGCGCTTCGTCTCCAGAATGAGAGCTACTACTTTCAGTGGTCGCGAGACAGCGGCCTTTGCGCGAGAGCGCTGCTTGGTGCACTCGTTCGTGCCGAAGAGGGTCACCAGATCGGCATCGAAAACGAAGAAGCACAAGATCTTCACGAGATCTTCAGAAAGTGAGCAGAAGGATGTGTTCCGGTATAGCTGTGCTGAGTCACTGCCTCGGTATGGCCGGCAGAGCTGACCAGTCCTTCTCCGTGCTCGTTGGACCTTGACAGCTTTGTAGAGATGAGCATCAAGCTGCAGTCTTTGCCAAATCCTTCGGGCACTTACGAGGCGGGCGGTCTGGGAGAGCCCAAATTCAACGTGGACGGTTCTGCTTTCCAGGCGAGCTGGGGTCGGCCACAGAATGTGGGTACATCAAAGAGCTATCACGAGCTGGGCTGATCGCTCGACATGCATCTAGCTGACACTATCGGCATCCTGTTCTGAATGGGCAGGACGGACCAGCCCTTCGTGCTTTAGCTGCGCTTCGCTACGCCATCTTTTTGCAGAACACGAGACCCGGATCGAAAGAGGTTGACGCATATATCAGCGACAGACTTTGGGCACCAGCTTCTGCCCCTTCTTCTCGCACACTGATCAGGGACGACCTAGACTACGTTGCGCGCGTGTGGGAGACGGAGAACAGCTTTGAACTCTGGGAAGAGGTAGAGGCTGCTTCTTCGCCCCTCGATGGAGGTGGACACTTTCACGTGTTGATGTCACAGAAAGGAGCCCTCGAGGCAGGCGCTGCGTTCGCCAAGACGCCGTTGATAGCTGATGAAGGGCGCTCACAGAGGTATGCAAAAGCAGCTCAAGGGATCGCGCAGCGACTCGAGAAATTTTGGATAACGGACACCGAGATCG